CCAGCATTGAGACCAGCATTAAAACCAGCAAAAACAGCATCAAAACATACCAGCATATGCTGTTTTGTTTCAGCAGTTATGTATCGTCAAAGACTGATTTATACTTCTTCGTCGAGCGATCGGCATGGCCCACGGCACCTGCCTTGCACGTTGTCATGCATTTATACTTCTGCGTGCTGTTTGCGTTGCTCTGCAATAACACTTCCAAAACGCTAGCTGGCAGTAGGATTTTATGTTTCTCTGTTTTGAGTTTCTGAACGCTACCTTAATGTACAAGTAGCTCAAACTCTCTCATCCACTCAGCTCGCGGCTCTCAGCGAGGACCATGCAACTGCACGCAGACTGCACTGAAGCATATGCTAAAATTGTAGCACTTAATGTACAATTATTTAATTTCTGTGTCTGTCAACAAAACAAAAACACATCTTTCTCCTGAAGACTTCAAATACTGTATAGTACATGAATTACTTGGGCTACTTTTAATTTGTTTTGTATTTTAGATATCCTTACAATTTCTGGTAACCCTGCTACCTTTGGTCCATTTGTACTGCTTTATGTTCCATAGAAAAAGCCAAAATTAAGTGGAATGGTTGATCACAGTTTTCATTTTCACATGAAGTATTGAAATGATCAGAGAGTTTACTCAGCCAAGTTCACAAAATCTTGATCAATTCCTTCCATCATCTCCTTGTTCCATATAAGGCCTTCGAGGTAGGTATGCTACGATCAATCGGCCAAAGATCGTTATCGGCCGATAATCACAATTAATGACTCAATCGTTACTCGCCAATCTGGCCAATCTCATGAGCCGATCAGTTTATAGTCCTATTTCCTTTTAGTAACGAAGCAGTGGATTTATACTGTAGGTGTGCATTTTAACTGCTTATGCATCAAATTTTTTCTTGATTGAGACATGTTGAATTATTCTTTCATCATTTGCAATGTTTCCAAATTGCGTTGTTTGTAATTCTTCTTACTAATTTATATATCTGAGTTATATTGTATATAATTATTAGCTTTATAATTATAAGATTAAGCATTTGAATTAATACTCTGTATCGACCGATCATCAAGACAAAGAATCGGTACTTGTATCGGCAGCAAAACTCCTGAGCATACCTACTTCGTGGTGATATATTAAACATGTAAGCTAATTAAATAATTTACTAAAAATGTAAATGCTACTTCAGATGGCTGATTATAATACAAATAAAAAGTCTATCGCCTTGTAATCATTAGTACATCTACAGCAGTTACTGTGAGTGAATTCACCTCACATGTTTTCATGACGGGTTTCAGTCATGCAGAGTGGTTATTTACTTAATAAAGAAGCCTTGAATGGGACACTGGCAGGCTGATGGGGATTGGGCTGGGAAAGAGGTGTCATGCGTGTGCACTCTCTGAGCTCCATTGTGCTGAACAAGCGCTCCCATCAGAACAGTTCATCCCCATAGCTCACCATGATTACTAGAGTGCCTCTGTGTTACATAACATAAACCCTAATCATAATCAGGCCTCTTTCCCCTCGTCCTGTCACAGCAGTTGTGTTGGTTCTTTTCCGCACACCTTTGTGTCTGTCCTTGCTTCAGTAGACAATCAAGTTTGCACTATAGGGAGTTATTTGGTTATGATAAAACTCAATATTCCATTCATACTAAATACTTTTTAGCAGTTGGTAGCAGTAGGTACCCAATCCAATATGGTTAGATGACACTATACCTGTTTAAATACTCCCATGGTCAAAATGAAATTCCCATTCCTATTTGGTCTATCCTGTCACGCATTTTCAGAACTAAGGGCGCTACTTCTCTTTTGCCTACATTCATATAGACACAGGCTGCCTGAGTCTGACATTTAAGAAAGATGGTTTAATAATAAGCCTACATACTGAGTCACGTTGTATCAGCAGCAGTACACAGCTTCTGCCTCTGCAGCGCTTGTTACATGTTAGGAGTGCAGTCCATAGGGAATAGGTGTGAAAAAAAGTGTCAACTTGCTACCTTCTATATTTGCCATTCATGACTGCTTGAAGTTTTTTGTGTAACTAGGATAAGTCAAATCAAGTCTCGTTAAAGGGACTCTCTTGGGCACTTAATCATCTGGTGATCATTCAATAGATGTTACCAAATGCAACTTAAATTTTTCATTGCTAGTTCGCTGGCTCGCGACACTTTCTAAAGTTGATTTATGAGCTGCTTGCACACATTCTTGCTATGGCCCTGTCCACAAGGCAATGGATTTAGGTCAATATGCAAAAGTTTAATGTCATTTCGGCCTTTCATTCACACAATACCAGTGTTGTTCAAATTACATTACAGTGGTACACAAATTACATTTCATTACAGGTTACAGAATGGAAAAATACAATGCAATCTAATGTTAATTCTTAACCTTTTAATTTAAAGGCTGGTTCATATTCATTTATATGATCTCATTCATAAATTTTTGTACGATTTGGTCACCCCCCCCAATTACGGTTACAGGGTGGGGGTATTTGATGTACACCTCCTTTTAAAAATCATGTTTTATACTACTTAAATTGTATTCTATTTGTACGAATTAGACAATACGTAAAATAGCTAAATTTCCTCAAGGGATCAATCTTAAAAATCTCAAAATGCTGCAATTCGTGAGTCTTGTGGAAGGTGACATCATAACGACCAGGAGAAGGATGGACCCCATGCATAACAACAACAATACCGGATTACCAAGCTGTGTTTGTGCTGCAGGCGCTGCTAAGTATATTAGCACTATTAAAACAAAACCTGTTAATGTTGTCTCAACTAGACGACCAGCGAAGATGCATTAACAGTTACACTCGTTAGATATTTTTATGTCCACCATGGTGTCCAGTTTATGTCAGTATACTCATCACGCTGAAGGACTTCATGCGCATGCTCACTGCATTCTTCTGTGTATCATTTTAGTGTATCTTGAAGGTTTGTCTGATGTTTACCCTGCCACATGGCATATGTATTACACCTTTTTAACCCAGTTTTCTCATTTCCATGAGGACACAGACATTTACTGAAAAGATATATATAGAATATTGTAATAAACTATGAGTATTATTATTATTATTGTTAGTTTTTTTTGTTTTTTTTTTTTGCATGTATATGCTTTTTAACAGCTACTTTCAAGTGCTGTAACTCCAAGATGCACAATTTTAGCTAAAAAAAATCCTCTTTAATGTTCTACTAGAAGGGTGAGCAACAGCAGATTTTTAGGTGAACATAATCTAGTGTCATTGGCTAGACTTTGGTATTTTATTTTAGACATTGTTCAGACTGCTTTACTATAGCATTAGTAGAGTATTAACACTTATTTTTAGGTTTAGGGTTAGTAGAATAAGCCGACAGTAGAATAGTCAATCAACTTATAATCAACAGAATGGCTGTTGGTGGTCCTTCAAAATGAAGTGATTGCAGACAGACAACTATTGACTGCTAGTTGACATTGAATTGCAGTTTCTTATAGTTTGTAGAATGTCTAAAGTGGACCCTCCAGTTTATTTCATTCATATGCAGACATGCAATATTTCAGTATATCATTTTAACATGACTACGATTAATAAATGATTATTTTATTTGTTTGTTTATTTATTTTGCCCTCACAGTTCACTGACGGGTTTTGTGCAGTAAATATGCTCATATATTACAAGTGAGAGATTTTTGAATGAAGGGTGCATTACTTGATTTTAAAAGGCTGCACCTAACCATACCCATGAGTTCAACGCAGAAGTATAATTCAGCCTTAACAGAGCGGGGTCTTGTTACTCCACACGTGAATGGGATTGAAAAAATTGACCTAGAAAAATTTGATTGATTATAGGTTCTAATTGTCGATTTCGATTACTTTTCGATTAATCACCCAGCCCTAGTTGTGAGATCTCAAAATGGCCTCTGTCACAAGAGGATACCGCCTTTAAAGTTAGCATGAAACAGAATCCTTTTTCCCTTATGATGATGTACAGTACATCTATATGAAATGTTTACTGAAATGAGAAATAAGACTTGGTTGTTGCATGATTTCATCTTTGTGAACCATTTGGATTTGTTGGAAATTGAATATTAGGAAGATTTGAATGCCAGTTTGTATATAAGCACGGTTGTGGAGGATTTTACTGTCCACTGGAATCACCATCGGCATCCTCTGGTGTAGGATGTTTTCAGATGGCCAATGATAATAAGAATGAGGAGCTAAATTTTTAGAGATGGAATCTTATTTGTTCAACCTACTGCCTCACACAAAGGCATGGCAGAAAAAACACACACAATGATAGCCCCGTCCTAAAGACTGATAGCCCAGCCCTTAAGGAATTCTATGTGAAGTGAAGAAGTACTAGAAATTAAGATAATTGTTTCGAGGGTGGGTGGTAATTTGTACAAAATAACTAAGTGGCTCCGTGGTTAGCATTGTTGCCTCACACCAAGAAGGTCACTAGTTTGAGTCCTGGCTGGACCAGATGGCATTTCTGTGTGGAGTTTGCAAGTTCTCCTTGTGTTTGCGTTTCCTCTGAGTGCTCCCTTTTCCCCAACAGTCTAAAGACAAGCAGCATAAATTGGGCAAACTAAAGTAACTGTGGTGAATGCACGTGTGTGTGAATGAGAGAGTTTATGAGTGCTTCCCAATGCTGGGTTGCGGCTGGAAGGGCATTCGCAGCATAAAACCAATGCCAGAGTAATTGGCGGTTCATTCCAGAGTGGCGACCGACCGATGTGACTAAGCTGCACGATACTAAGTAATATATGCATATGTAATAAAGAAGAGTACATTTGGATTTAATGTCAACTCTAGTGTAATTAGCTGCCGAATCTTTGATTTTTTTCTCAGAGGAACTACACATTTATAGTATGAAATATTACTTTTTTTCCTAATGCCTCCACACAGTCTCCCTTTTAAATCAAAGCCCACTCAATCACTGAGCTAATAAGGTTGAATGAGGGGCGTTTTAAGCTTTTGGCTCGCCCACTGCTCCTCTGACACTTTGAAATACACAGCGCTTTGCGAATGACGATGTACTGATAGGCGTTATTTATTGGGGTCCCGTCGTTCGTTGACAGATGGAAACTTAAAGAGAGGGCAGTAAACAGATAGCGGCAAAGGCGGTGCCGTTCATGCCCAAAGCTCGTGTCAAAGCGAGGAAATTGTCAGCGAAGGCAAGTACACGCTAAAAAACTCAACTCCGCTCGTGTTATTAGAGCTCGTCTTGTAGCTGCACATTCAGACATTGTGCCATAACTGTCCTGGATTACCACTTTAGGAGCGCCATGACTTGGCAAACAAACGCAGCGCGCTAGGATGGCAGGAATAAGGGTTCAGTGATAGGTAAACGCACGTAAACAAATCTATATAGAGTGCAGTCGAGGCTGGAAAACCTGAACAGGTGGCATATCTCGGAGCATACACGTCAAGTGGAGCAGACCGACAGCTTGCCTCTTTTCGTTAATCCTCTGCTGACGACGCTTTTCAGCCCCTCTCCTCCTCGCCGGGGAAAGACTTCATTTCGTGAAGTTCTCGCCGCGGTTTAGCAGTGCTGATAGGACGGGCTCCGGTGTCTTAAAGGATTCTGGAGATGCGCGTGCAAGTTTCCCGCTGGATTTAACAACAAGCGCGTTCTTTCTTTCTCACTCCTTATGCCTTATGACTTGGATGTGTTGAAAATCCACGTGTCAAAAAGCGACATGTTTCCTGAAATTAATAACAAGGTAATGTATTACATCACTTTGCGCTTTCCTATGGATGCGCTCTTGTAAATAAGTTTATATTTTATGTGCAGAATATTATGTGCATGTTCTGGCTGCACTGGAGTAGGAGCCTTTATAGGTTTAAATAATAAGTTTAATATTTAAATGTTATTTGATATACATAACATAATGTATTATGCTTAACAGGTATTCGATTAATGGTTCAATATAAACTATTAGTTTTAAGGTTTAACTTACACTGTGTATTTAACACCATACTGCCTATACAGCTTATATAAAATACAGCTATACAGCTTATATATGTCAAAAAGCTGATTGTTTACAGTTAAATTAATATACCGAATAATATATCTAACTATTATTCACATATGTTATAGTTTAAGCATATAATACAACTAAATAAAAAAGAGACAACTCCTTATAACTGTCAGTTTATCTTCATTTACGATTTATAATTTAAGTAAAATGCTTTATTCTGCAAACAAATAACAAATTTAAAATAGATATGTTGTGATATGTTTGGAGCATTGAAATAACATAAACCTGACATAATTCATATTCATTTCAAACAAATTATCAATGTTTGAACTTCAGAAGAATTATAAAAGTGAAACAATCCTGTTTTTAATAACAACAAATGAAGGCCTTTTTTTTTTTTGGACCAATGTGTTTTGTTGAATCATTCAATTATATGTGTGTATAATCTATATAAGTATACTTTTCAGAAGCAGAAACTTTATTTACCACACCAATTATTGCCGGGTAATAAAGAACCTTCTCACATTGTTTTTTTTTTTTTTTTTTGGGGTTGCTTGCTCAAATTTCACTGCATTTTGCCTTCTAAGAAACTTAACTCACAGTAACACGAGAGCGCTTGATTGCGTTCTGTTCTGAGTATTTTCAGTTTTATTAGTATAATGCTATAGTGCAAGGTTACAAATAAATTATGTAAGTCCCAATCCTCTGTTCATCCCACCAGTCCATCATTGAGATTTATTTCGCAGATCTGTATAATGAAATAAACTGCACTGACAGCTGTATATTGTCAGAGATTGATGTTATTAACGCGCCTTGCAACTGCATGAGTATATTTGGTCTGAACATGTGATGGTTCGCTTGGTTAAAATCCTCAGTGTCTAAGTATGAACTTAAGGCAATTGAACTTCAAGTTACTATGAAAGGCACAGAGAGTTCTGAGTATTAATATATATATTAAAGGCATATGATGTATTTTTGATCCTTTCAGGGTGTGGTTTGAATTTTGCTCATGACCATATTCTTTTTCAATGTGGTGACCCAAATTGGTCTGTCTTAGTATGAGCTAGCAAAATGTGTGGGCATTGGTGTAGCTTTAATATCAATTAATCTGTTAAATAGCAGAAGGGATGTAATATTTGAGGAAATTCTAAAGTGAAAGTCATTTAGATATGAGTAGGACCTTTCAGGATTATTATACAGGTAGTAAACTAACACTAAAGTCTAAATTGTTTCAGGAAATAAAAGAAATCTTTTCTGCAAAAGAATAATAATATTTAAAAAAATGTATGCTAATTTTATTTTAGCTAATTTAAAAATGTAATTAAAGTAACAATCAACATAAAAATACACAAAAACACTACTTGATTTAAACAAAAATTAAAATAAAAACTCAATGATATTAAAATGATGTAAAAATTCCAAGGATTCACTTGATAACAAACATTTTGTGATATGGCCAATATTAAAATAATATTTAGATATCAAAATGAAAATGTATGACTGTCAAAAATGTTCAAATTATATGGCAAATGTAAAGTTTAGAATTTTTTTTATTTTCTAATAATTCAATTCTACAGTATTGCATTTTAAATCAAGTATTGTAAATGCTTAAACATTTGATTTAAAAGTCCCATGACAATGGAAGTCTTACTGAATTGTAAGTTTTTCACTTTTTTAATTAGTTTATTTTGTTATGAGCTGTTAATTTTTGAAACTGTATCAGGGATTTCTAATAAAATACATTTAAGTGAGTGTTTGATTAGACGATTAGAAATCTGATATCAATCAACACCAATAAATAAAAAAATCTTGCAGACTGATAATCCTCCATGATATCAGTATACCGGGCATACCTGATGAATTTAGATCAGAAATATCCCATCTCCCAAATTAAAGAAACAAACGATTTTTCAATTATTTCATTGGCGAATAAACCTGACTGATGAATTTGCTAAAGAAAAGCACTGACCCACAAATTGTAACACAAACCCTTTGGTCCCGAACATAGAAACTCAAAGGTGTTAATATTTGAATGAGTCTTTTAAAGCCCGAGTCTCACATTGCACATCTGACTGCACGCAGTCTAAATGCAACAAATTTTTACTGCCTGTTTTCCAAATACATCTCTTTGTTGCTATCCGTGTCCTCTCTGATCCCCCTGTAAGCCTGTACAGTGAATGAATCCAGATAAGACCCGACACATCTGCATAGCTAAACCCTCCGATGCTCTGTGCCAAAAACCACCATATGTTTTAGACTGACCCCTGTGGATTAAGAGTGTGAGAGAGCCATATTAGTTTGTATTTGGATGTATTGTCTGTGTTTCTTGGTCAATCTGTTTGACTTCTGCTCTACACTGTATTTAACCAAATATTTTTACTCAAATGTTACTTAAAGTTGGTTGTACTTGGAAAAAAAAAAGTTACTCAGTGACTCAATATATTAAGCAGAACCCAAATAGAATGAGTTAACGCTAATGTATAGTTCCAATCGTGCTTTTATTTATTTTGAAGGATATTGGATGTTAAAATTAAGTGTATATTGTTGTGTTTTTGCTCAAGAACTATTTGGGTAGTTTTTTTGTTTTGTTTAATATCATGTTATTTTGAGATTAAAAGGATTCTGTTTGAGATTGAGAGTTTCCCTTGTTCAGATGATTAGAGCTTGTGGTGACAGTCAATTGAAGATCATTGCCTGCAACGTAACCCAACGTCATGGGGACATTAGATTTTGTTTGGAAATGAAAATTGGGTTGACATCAGAACCCAATGTCAGGCTGATGTCAAAGTCCAACCTCCAAATTAAAATCAACTTAAAATCAACCAAATCAACTTCTAATCATGTTACGCCTTTACGTTGTGTGGACGTTACCACTATGACATCTATCAGACGGTGGATTTTAGTCGCTTTCCAACACAAGCTGATATCAAACAAATATCAACGCAAAATAGCATTGTCCTTAGCCGCTGGCTAGATATTAAATTTTGGTCACCTGTCCTGAAATCATGACGTAAATCTAACCCAACGTCTTATGATGTTGTGTGCCTGCTGGGTAAAGAATGTGCATACTTTGCCACAAGTACAGTCTCTTTTATGAAAACATTGGTGTACTGTAAGTACTTTTAAAAATAAAATAAATTAGTAATTTAACAGAGTTTTATAAAACAAAACTAAGATCCAGAAACTCAGTTCAATTAAATTAAAAATAAAAATGTACTTCAACATGCATTTCAAGGTACAATAAATGCTACGATGCAGTGTAATGGCACCAACTTTTGTTCCTTTTCACAATAATGATATTTACTAGAACATATTTTGGACAAATGTAGAATTATTTTTGAGCAGTTTTGAGCAGAACACCAAATAAAAACCACAAATCAACTAAACATTAGTTTCAATCCAGCTATTTTTATGTGCATTTTGGGACAAAAAATGGTTGATGGAAATGCCAAGATGTGCATCAATTTTGTAAATGTGCACAACAAAAATATGCGCATAACTGAGTAAGATAAACTTTTATTCGGTAAGAAAAGATGTGCATAAACTACGATGTAAACACTTTTACCAAACAAATTCCAGTATGCACATTACAAAAAGGTCATGTGATTTTGTTATAAGAGGTCATTAGATGATGATAATGTGTGTGAATGGACAAACCAGCAGACTCATCACATTATGAAACGTCTGAATTGTTGTTTTTGTCATTCTAAAATGCCAAACCATTTCAGTATTAGTGTTACTATATTATTAATTACCTTCAGAATTGTTAAGAGCTCTGGGTCTCAGGCCTTTAAACAACACCACGCATTCATTATGTGTCGCCGTTGTCTTCTGATACGAAGTGATTTATCAAATAAGGAAAAAATTCACAGAACTGCAGAAAATTCCATTTTCACTTTTGATATTTGGCGTCAGTAAATCAGGACATAACGATTTTGTTCTCTTTGACTCTTTGGATGGAAACTCTGCTTTATTTACATGTCTTTTATGAGATATTCCAGTTTTGCGCATACATTTTAATAGCATGTTTAAATGGAAACATATCTAGTGTCTATGATTTGTAATTAAACATGTTTGTCTCACCTATCCATCAACATACGGACAACTTCCAGTGAAGCAATGTTTTACAAAAGAGCTAAAACTGATGTGAAATCAAGGTAAATCTATGTAGCTGTGATGGACTTTCTTTTATGTTTGCTTTTTAAAACAGTAAATGAGTTTTTGTCAATCGTTAGCAAGGTGATCTGTAGGACATGTCTCGCCTTCTCATGGACTTGCACAAAAAGCATGTGTATCTGACACGTATAACAAAACACAGCCTAAGTAATATATTTCAGATACTCAAAAATGTAAACAGCACCCTCTAGTGGATTTGTCATCTAAAACATGCAATGAAACATACCCGGAGCAACGTATTTTACGTTTCACAAAAATGTAAGCATGTAAGGCATGTATTTTCATTTTATATAAGGTTCATATGTGCATTTAACTGGAATTATAATTTAACAATATTTCATGAAGTTCACATTACCCATAAATATTAGTTTTTAGATTTAAATGGTTTGTTTAGTTACCGGAACTTGTTATGTTTTACAGTGTACCGGTATGTGTTTAACATGCTCTGTTTGTATGGCAGCCCATACCGAGAGGCACTAAGTTTAGCTGGGGCTTTTCATCTGTCCTTATGTTATCTGTCAGCGCTATTGACGCAAGCTCAGGCCTGATTAAGATGGATGTGGGCCTGTTTACTCGCGGGTCCGCAATCATGAGTGATTGTAGTCATCGCTGATATCCTTGATCGCTCAAGGGGGAATATTAGTTGGGAGATGATTGCTGTGAAGTGTGAAGCATCAAGTCAAGGAGTCTAGACGTCACTAATGCCCTTTGCAAGAAAAAGAAAATCAGAAATAAAAGAAGAAGAAAAAAACTGGCAGATTTGCTTGCCAAATCAGTTGAAAAAAACTGTAAAAATGTAAATTTAAATGTAAATAACTAATAAAAATTACACTAAAACTATAAAAAAAAAGTATACAACTATATTAAAACCTAATAAAAATGAGAAAACAACTAAATTACCAAACTAAAATGAATACATGAAATATAATAGCAGTTTAGCAATTATACTAACATAACTACACTGTAAAAAATCCTGGTTGCCTTAAAATTTTAAGCTTAATCAAATTAACCTTATGAGTCCATTGAACTCATATTTTGTTAAACTGACTTAAAACAACTTGCATAACTTCTAAAATTAAGTTAGAACATGATAAACTTAGTTTACAATGAATTAAAAACATATGCTGTCATGACTAATTGTTTTTTTACAGTGTATTAACATTTTCATTTAAATTAATAAATGAAGTTTAAAAAAAAAAAAAATAATAATAATATATATATATATATATATATATATATATATATATATGTATAATTATGCATAAGACAACATCCACTGTAAAACTTTCTTTATGTTCTCACAACAGAAATCGATTAAGTTAAAATTGATGTTTTTTTTGTTTTTTGTTTTTACAAATTTTTGTGGATTAAATGCAACAGAATAAAATTGTTCCCCCAAAACCTCAAAAATTGTGTTGTTTTAGCTCTTTTTAATTAAGTAGTTTGGATAAGCAAAAAAATCATTTATTAAGAGTGTTTTCAAACTGTAGTTTACAAAAAAAGAGAAAGAAATCAAACATAAATCTACAAAATTTTACAGATCATTCTGTAAACTTTCCTATTTAATGTAACTGACAATTGTTACATTAAATTGTCATTTGTTGTCATAAACACGTTTACATTACAAATAACTTTCTACTATATCTTTAAAACTAATTTACAAAAAAATAATTCTGCTGTTTTTCATCCCTCAAAACTTTAAAAGTTTGATCGTTTTCTGGTTATCTTTGTAAATAATATAAAAACGTGTTAAAACCAATTGAAATGATGGTCTTTAACTTCTTTTTTACTGTAGCTTTTTTACAGTTAGTATCACAATCATATTAACAATGCGATGTGAGGCCAAACTGATCATCTGTCGTGAACGAGGGCGTCATGGAAATAGCTTTTGAATTGAAATCAAGATAGCTCAGTGAACTGAAGATGAGTCATTGGGCTGTGTTGAATAACAGAAATGATTCGCACAGTTATATAGGCATCATCCCACTCGTTCGGCAACGGATGTTCATGACGTCTCTCCTCCGCTCTCTTTCACAGTCAGCCAGACCCGAGGCTTTCCCTCACCCACACAGGGCTCAGGCCGACAACACTAAAATAGGACCCAACTGCACCTACACACAGGTGAGCCCTTGGTCATGGAGGAAAACATAAGCACTGATGATTTGATCAAGATGATGCACAAAGGGAGGAAATCTGTGAGGAGGTGCAAAGGAATTTGGTTCAAACGATGAATTGAAATGCCAAGGACGCAAAGCAGTCCAAAAAGGCTGGCAGAACTTTAAATGGCTATTGAATTTAATTTGTGGTCAGTACATTCCTTGCATTGATGGTTGCATGAAAATACTTCAAAATCACATCAAAGGGTGCTTTATAGTGGTTTAGGTTATTAAAATGTTAAAAGACTGTTCATTGAATGGTTCTTTTATGGTATTTTGTGTGTTTGTGGAAACTAAATTGATCTAACGTAAGAGTAACAGCAATTTTAATGTTCAAGGGATAGTTCACACAAAAATGTACACAATATTTACTCAAACCTTTTATATATTTCTTGATTTTGTTGAACACAAAAGTAGATATTTTGAAGTAACATGAAAATCAGTCACTATTGACTTGTTACATGCATAGTGTAACAAGTCAATGTATGGTAATGTTTTTCTTTTTAAGAAATTGATGCATTTGCAATACATTGTGCAAAGCCGATGATATTGATATATTTAACGGTATTCGTTTTAATAGTTTTCTAAACCTTTCACTTCTCAATGTTTAGTTTTGCCTTAAAGGTCCCATGGAGTGCTTTGAAATGTGCAGTTTTATTCGATATTTGACCTAATCTTAACCGAAACACAAAGAGAGGGTGGGACATAGTGTAGCTCCTCCTCCTTTTTAAAAACAGCCAGCAGCATTTTGTTTATTCATCGCTCTGCCAATGAGAGCGACTGACCTTAAGCGCATCAAATGAAAAGTAAATGAGAAGCATCTTGAAGGGCGCAGCGCATTTCAGATACTAGAGAGCATTTGATTGGTTATGTGTTGAGAAACTGAAGAATGAGGTGACGTGAATAAAACCATTGATCCATTTAGATGAAAGTGGCAAATTACAAGCTTTACGTGTTTATATCAGTTTTATATTTTCTAAATTTTGGAGCACACTAGCTTATAGATAACAATACTAATACTAACATCTAAAAAAAAACAACTTATTTTAATTTCATGGGACCTTTAATGTGCACATTTTCATTCCCCTGATGCTTTAGCATGAATTGATTCTTTCATTGTTTCTCCGCTATCTATAGATGACAATAGACGATCCCTCCAAGCACCTATGGAAAGCGTTTGTGTTAAATCTTTAATGTTGAGGGTGATCCCTTCACACGCACCTCTAAAGCACCTGGCATCCATTCAGCTGTGGGTTTTAATGCACAGCTGCTGTACCTGAATTGTTTACGTGGAGCCTACTGTATTCTTGTAGGTCTCTGCAGGTTCCCTCAACGCTATATTTAGCTTCTGTTTCTATGCGTCACGATCAAGCTGGCAGATACCGCAGTATCTCCAGAACATATGAAATTGAATATCGCATCTATCTATAGACACACATGCTCTTTTTTCAGCCCAGAAGTTTGTTGAGCGTTGGCTTTGAACCATGAGATGGGGGAAAACCTGCGAGCGACGAATGAGCCCCTCCCTTGTGTGGTGCCCTACATTCGCTTCACAGCGAACCTTTCGTTAAAATCCTTCTAAAAGAAGATACTGACAAAATGAAGAAGCGTGCAAGAGAAAACCTGTATACCTCATTCCTATTACATATCAAAATGTGAGATTTATGGTATATAGTGTGATTCTGAAAGACTGCCCAATCGCTGCTTTTGTCCCCACCTCAGTCTAAAGCTGAAATTCCATCCTCCACGCAGGGGGTCGGTTCACTGGGGCCGTTGGCCACGCAGCTTGTGTGAAGCTCACGTATCTTTCCCCCCGTTGGCCCTTGTTACTGATTTGTAGAGTGTTTAATGTTGAACGGTGCTCAGTGTATTGTATTCTTTTCTTTTCTAGAAGTGTGGGACAGGCGTTGGTACTTTGCCTCAACTAGAGGCTCCTGTCAAGCAAGTTTTGGTGACCAATGGCAAACTTCTGCATTCGAATGGAACCTTACCAAGCATTGTCAAACAGTTGGTGCAAAGCACTCAGGGGAATCAGGTAAGATAACACCTGCTGTAAAACATAACACATCCTTTTTAGAATTCGAAGAAAATGGTAAACACTAGGCATCATTTGGTCTTGCAAAGTCAGAATCTCGGACTGACAGCAGAAGGTTTGAAGGGCTTTGCAGGTTTTAATGGTCAAGGACACACACAGGAAGCTAAATGACTGACATTGTAAACCAGTCACAGTTAATTTTGTTTAACTGTATGTTTAGGGGTGTAAAATTTGAACCCTAAGTATAGTAACCCATAAAAAACATCCTATATTAAAAACACTTCAAAATACCTGAGGTGTTTACAATGCCACTGGTCCACTGCCATTGTGAGACAATGTGTCAGATTTGTTTGATTATACAAATGTAACCACAATGATTTACCTCTCGAGCTGCAAGACATTTTATAAACTAGTAAAGTGTGCTACTTATATACATTGCAATATACATACAGTAATTCTGAAGGCATAAAGTTGATGAAAAAAGCATCAAATTACCTTAAATTGATAATGTGCAAAAGTATGCACCCAAAAAAGTTTTTTTTTTCCTTTATAACCTTCAAGACATGTAACCTCTGACCATTTACAAGCATCTGTCATTTCTTCACTGGAATCCTGGCCTGTTCCTTACATGCAAAACTTAGGAACGCTGATAATCTTTGCTTTTTTTCATCATTGTGGCTTTCTTTAATCTTTTCATTTAAATCTGGAGACTGAACGGGTCACTCGAGAATTAAGATTCAATGGATTTGGACTCCACTGGAATGATTGTCCTGTTGGAAGTTGAAATGATCTTCACTCTTCAATCTATAGAGTGAGATTCATCATACAATTCCCGACTTTGTAAATCAGGGGTGCCCAAACCCGTTCCTGACGGGTCACAAACCTGAAGAGTTTATCTTCAACTCTAACTGAACCCCCTTTCCTCCATTTCACTATTTAGAAGACCAGCCATTTGTAATGTCCATTCATTGTGAACTTCATTGCTTGCTCTCATTCTATCCCATAGTGCACCAACATATCAAGTCCAAGTTATTATCATCTCAACAGCTTAACCCAAAATGCATTATAATGGTCATGCTGATTCAATTCCTGTATGTCATTTGAAAATGACGCTTGCAGCTGAGTGATCCATCCACCTTTGGAATCTTGCAATCTGGAGAGTTCAAGTATAACGTGATAGAGTGAATGAGTCAAATGAAGAGCTACAGCCTTTTTGGCCCACCCAGTGTGGGAATTACTAATATTTATTCATTTTCATTTACTCATTCAAGTGGACTAATGTAGGGAATAGTGAACAAATGATATCAGGGCCATTACAAGTTTTTTGGCTTGTTGAAACTAAACTTTGAAGGACACTGGCACTCCAAGAGCAGGATTACAATGATTTATTGAAAAGCTGGGCATTATGCACTAAATCAGAGATCTCTGAATCTTGTTCCTGGACAGTTCAGCTCCATCCCTAATTAAACATCCAAAGTATGTTTGTAGAGGGCGGTTGTCCTGCAGAGTTTAGCTCCTACTCTAATCAACTACACCTAAACAAGCTAATTAAGGTCTTATTAGGTATACTTGAAACTTACAGGCAGATGTGTTGAGGCAAGTTGGAGCTAAACTCTGCATAGACACAGACCGGCCCTTCAGGACCGACATTGGTGACCTCTGGCCTAACACATCATGTCAACAGGTTTACATCCGTTCATGCATTTGGTAGAGATTGTTTACACCTATAAGAAAGAGCGCTAATTAGGACCAAAAGAAAATGCAGAAGACAATGCTGTTCAATTCATGATTTTTAGGGCCCAAGCCACTTTGCAATTGTAGATATGTTACAAACATGAAGCTGAGCGAAAAAAAAGAACTGTGACTGGTTTCTTTAATTGTCATATGACATTTTGGGTGGTTCTTGATCAATGAAAACTGTGATAAAGTCAGAAAACTGTGATAAACACAGGCACGTTGTGAAAATGTACCCCATATACATTTCTAGAGAGTGCGTATTATGTAGCCAGAGCTGCGTATAGCTGCATTTCGTCTTAAAAGCGAGCGCTACTGGGTGGTATGACGCCACAGATTTCTTCTGTTTCTTTTAGCGCCACCAGTTGACCGATTACCTCCATATGGATAGCTTTTACACTTTTACCAATTTGCCCAGTAGCTCGCCACGTACTTCGGTGGACATGAGACAGAGTAGACTTGATCATGACAACAGGGTTCGAGTCTCATGCAGAATAGTTCCAGAAAGCAAAAAATAGTAAAAAAATTTAAATAAGGAAAAAATAAACAAATAAATAATTTTATTTTTATTTATAAAATTTTCTGGATTGCTTTTGAAAATGCCATCAGTTGGGATTAGGGAAGGCTGGTCAATTGGTGCGTTTGAAAACACTGTCGGTTATATATCGGTGATATCGGTTGATGGGGCATGGATGTTTGCAAGAACAGTAGGCACAAATAGCATTCGCAAGAGAAATTTGAGATCTGAAAAAGCGTACACAGCAGCCTTTGGAGAATTCGCAAAAAACAAAAACTGCAAAAAAAACAAACCTCCTTGGATGTATTTCGTGCTGTCCAGAAATGTATAAAGGGGTACGTATCAATAATGAGCCTGGGTTAGATTAAGTCCAGACCTTCTGCCATCTGTCTGTGCAAGACTAATCATGGGTGTGTTTCCCAAAAAAACAACAGGTTATAGCTGGACTACCAAAATGCAATATCATTATCATTCCATAAATAAACTATGTATTGCAGGGGTGCTCAACCCTGTTCCTGGAGATCTACTTTTCTGCAGAGTTTAGCTCTAGCCCTGATCAAACACAACTATCCAACTAAGTAGAATTTGAAGGAGCACTTGTTTATTAAAGACAGGTGTGTTTGATCAAGGTTGCAGCTGAACTCTGCAGGAAGGTAGATCTCCAGGAACAGAGTTCGGCACCCCTGATGCAGTGACAAGTTTTTACAGAACTGTCGCAAATCTATTGTTTGAACCACATTTGTCACAACGGAATGCCGCTTCTTAAGGGGCTTTTTAGATACTGATTAAATATAAATTAATATAATTATTTTTAGATAATTGTTCCATGCACTATATATACACTATAAAAAAGTGATTAGTTACTTTACTTTAAAAAGTAAGCAAGCCCATTGCCTTTTATAATTGCACACATAGTTTGTTTATTTAATAGTTATAAGGTAACAAGGTTATTTTATTTTAAGTAAAGTCAATTAATCACTTTTTACAGTGTACACATAATGTGTGTTATTAACATTTATATAACAACAACATAACGTAAAATAAAATGCTGGTCAGTTGATGAAGACAGCTTTGAGCGTAAAATACATAGAGTATAATAGTCTGAACGTCTGCATAAGACTATTTTCATCCTTCCTTAATTTTTTATTACACAGGAGGAGAGACCAAGGCCGCAGTTTCCCAATCGCTTTGGTTCGTCGGTGGAAAACTTGTCTGAATCCTTAACCAGGAGCATTATTAATAAGTTTGAGAAGATCAGAACATATGAAGGACAGAGGCTGCCAATGTCTCCAACAAGTATGACTTGCATTGTTTTTGTTTTTATTAATAAATTATTATTTTAGTCACCGATTTGAAACATCTAACATCAAAAAAATAGGTCTGTTCTGTATTTTTTTTTAAATTTCCCTGGTTAATTGGATTACGTAGCAGTTTATATATTTATTTAATGTGCATTGTTTTTCATCCTCAAAACAGCGGCACTGAAACACTTCCAGAACCAGTTAACAGAATATGAGCGGGAAGAGATCATGGATTACTCTGAGATCTGGTATCTGGGTTTGGACACAAAGAAGATTGAAGGCTCCCAGGGATCCCCACAGAATGCAGGCTATGATGATGAACATGGCAGCTACTTAAAGGTTAGATATTATATGTCATGTCTTTTTTCCAGCCAGTTATTTTGGTAACACTTTACAATAAGGTTGTATTAGTTAATGCATTTACTAACATGATCAATTAACAATATATTTATTTCAGTATTTGTTCATGTTATTTAACGTTAGTTGATGAAAATATAGTTGTTCATGGCTAATGTTAACAAGCATGAATATGGATGTGAATAATGCATTAGTAAATGTTGAATTATGATTAATAAATGCTTTACAAGTTTTGTTCATGATTAGTTAATGTAAGTAAATAAATTAACTAATGAAAACCTATTGTAAAGTGTTACCATTATTTTAGTATCATCAGTGTCTATAATAGAATTGAATGATATGTAAAAGTAGCTTTTGTTTTTCAAAATCTGTATATGTTATTGATTGTTTGATTAGCATGGTGATTAAATGTTAGATGCTATAAAATGTCTCTTATTTTGTGTTTAAAACATAATTTATATAACTGGGATTATGTTAATTTCTGGGATTGAATATCCTATACCGAGATACGAATATCGAGATACGATATTCAATTTTCTGGGACTGGGATTATGTTAATAATTCAGTGTTATTTTAGAATCACTGAGAATCTGATACAGAATTTATTAATATAAATACATTTATATTATTATGTTTTTGTAAATTGTTTTATTTAGTTAAATCTTTTTTATTAGGTGTTTAATCATGGTAATAATGCCAACTACTTAAATCAAGGTCATGATATATCATATATCTTCTTGTGATCATATTACTTGCCTGGCAATGTTATGTTAGAATCATGGAGCTCTTGTTACTATTCCTATAAATAGCTTTAAAAGTTTATTAATAATTAATTCATATTTATTTTCATTTTTTATTTTACAATAAAATAGTTTTACTTACTTTTTTGTTATATTTTCGCCATGTTTATTATATTTATTTCTATGCATAACATATTATTTTTCAGTATTCATTAAATAATAGAAAAATAAAAAAATACATACTTTTTTTTGTCAGTTAACTATAATAACGCTGTTGCCTAGCAGAGTTATCATTTGATATACATTTTAAGATTGCTGTCAGATTACTGGCTGACATACTGACCTCATTTTCAACTTGATGAACTCAACTCAACTCCATAAATGATGAAATTGCATTACAGCATGAGTTTGGATAATTCAGCCACAGGCAGTCTCCTGTCAGCACCGTCAATGTGCCTTTCACAAAACGTTTACTTGCCATTAGACTGAATTCCTTCACCCTCGACCATTTAAAGACTCACAGCGCTGGCATTTGCAGTCGAAACATGTAAACAAAGTCACATGTCAAGCAGTTCAGTTGTGCTTTCCTTCTGAAATCTTTCAGCGAAAGTAACAGGTAGTAACAGCAAGTCTGTTACCGGTCATTTTATCATAATTAATCGTCTGTAAAATATCATGTCTAATAAATATTTATTAGTGGAGTTGTTAATCATGATTAGCCAAATTTTAGAAAGAAATCAACTGATTGCACAGTTTTCTGTCATCTATTATATGTATTAACTTGTATAATCACACTTGATATAACCATTTCTTATTAATGTTTGATTATCCAATTAAATCCACCTTTGAAAAACAGCCAATTAGCTGCACTGTTTTTGCAATTAGTTGCAATTAATCATGACTAATCACACCTATAATTAACATTATATATATATTTACATATGAACATTTATATGTATTTATATATTTATATATATTATTGTCGCACCTATTACTGGGTTGCAGCTGAAAGGGCATCTACTGTGTAAAACATATGCTGGAATAGTTGGTGGTTCATTCCGCTGTAGCGACCCCTGATAAATAAAGGGACTAAGCTGTAGGAGTATAAATGAATTATTGTCATTAATAATGATTAATCAGATCGAATATAAGATTCTCTGCTTTACATATGTGTTAGTGCTGTTAGATTATGTAAAACAATTTAAAAAGCAACTAATCACATTTTCTATAATTAATTAATCAGATATTGCGATTGTGTGTGTGTGTGTGTGTGTGGTTAAAGTCAACATTATAAGTCCTCTTATTATGGAGCTTAAAATATGACAAAACTATCTGAATTTGATTCGATATCCGGACATTGTAGGAAATTAAGACTCCTACGGCAAACAAATTTTTAAGTCCCAAAAAGGCGCGTCTCTGTGGGTCTGCACATCACGTGAGACTGTCTGGAGGATCGTTGACAGTTCTTGCACAGACAGAACGAAAAGGATAAATGAGAATTTTTTCCTAGTTAATCAATCGCTGGATGTTTGGTTATATTGGGCGGATAACAACAAAAAACAATGATAATAATAGTAAAATAAAAAAGTATCACTAAATATACTTGGGTAGTTTAAAATTAAGAAAGTCTGAACATCAAATTCAATATCTCAAAAGTAAAAACCAGACATTCAGACTGTGAAAATTAGATTCAGTAGTCAGGGTTGATTTACAGGAAAGAGTAAATTAATAAAATTGTAATATGAAATTCAAAATGACATTTAATGGCATATGATATTCTGTTTTTTTATTATTACAATTGTTAATAAATAAAACGAGCACAATTCAAATGTAGATTTTTTGGCATATTTTAAGCTCCATATCTTGTGAAATTTAAATATTTGTGCTGTTTAACAGATACATTTTTATAGTAGTTTTAATATCTATTTTTTTTTTCATGATGACAGAACATAATATATTTCTTCAATCATTTTGCATGATATTAGTATTCAGCATAAATGGCAACTCATTTCTTAAAAGGGTTAAAAAAATTAATGTAATAAAACTGTGTTGTTAATCACAAAAAAATAACATAAATAATGCAATTTGCTATCGAAACATAAACCAAAGTCCAGCCCAGATGTGCATAACTTCAGAAATTCACCAAAAAAGAAAGGTATCTGCATCTCAATATTGCTATTGAGATGTTTCTCTAAGTAACAGGAAGTCTGGCACTGTAAAAAGAGACATAAATAATCCTGCTGAGCTGTTCATCAGCTGACTCTGTCCTCTAAATACTCTGTGCAGGTCCTGCATGACCATATAGGCTATCGCTATGAAGTGCTGGAGGTGATTGGGAAAGGATCGTTTGGCCAAGTCCTGAAGTGTTTGGATCACAAGACAAATGAGACGGTGGCCATCAAAATCATTCGAAATAAGAAGAGGTAAAGTGAACCCCAGTCTTAAGTGTTCATTCTCATTTTCAGTACAATCGGAGTCAGCGACCAATAGGGGGCCTCTCTTTTTTGTGAAATTCAACAATACTATACTATTAACCCTTTGATGCACTACATGGTTCTAAAGTGACCTGTCAAAGTTTAGTTTTTTTCTATATCTAATTTATAGCTTGTGCATCAAAGGGTTAAGACAAGACACTGAAGGTGAATAGGGTAAAACAATTATTAACAGCATACTTCCCCTAGTGACTGATTACATTATAAATCACCAAAAAATATATTACAAGTTTTTAAAAATATTGTTTAAATATGCAGCTAATAAAAATTTGATCCATAAAATTGAGTTCAAAATTTTTGTTTATTACTATTTTCTATGCATATTAGAGTCAAAATAGGAGATTTTGAGTATGTTTTTAATCACTTCCTAATTCAGAAAATATACTACTAAAAGTAAGTAAAAAACACAGAATTTTGGCAATGATTTATAGAATAAAATGTTGTATCCTATTTCAGAAAATATACTGCAAACAGCCAGTAAAAAACTACATTTTGGCGATTTTTATAGAATAAAATATATGTAATATTGCAAATTATGAAAATAGATATGGACCAAATATTGAGGTTTGGGCTGCTGAAGTGGAGATTTATGGCGCAATCCAAAGAAATAATCATTTTGAAAAAAACAGACTATTCAGCATGGATTTAGATCTAAAGACTTAAATAGATTGAGAAAGAATAAAAAGTGTATTTTGGATGTTTTCTTTCTATTATACTGAGAGAAAAGCTATTTATGAAAAGAAAGAAAAAAAAACTTAACGATTTAAATATTACTGAAATACAATTCTAATGAAATAAGTAAAAACTAAATCATTAAAGGTATTTACTTCTTTAAATTAAACTAAATCAAACCCTTTTCCCATTTTTTTCTGTAAGACTATGAGAAGCACTTCGTTGAGCTTTTATCTGGGTCAGTGTTTACAATGGAGCTGATACAGTGAAGGGTGTTAAAAGGTGTCAGTTGTGTATCTCATTACATGGTTGAGCAGATCTGATCTCCTGGCCTTTGCCTGCCATCGCACCTGCTTTGACTGATGCTTTTACAGTACTTAGAGCCCTCTCAAAATGCAAAGCCCAGGACTTAGTACTCTAGAGCTTTTCTGATGCTTTTAGTTTAGCTGTAGAGTTAAGGGAATTATTTTCTGCTCTATATTTGGGCTGTTTAATGTATAAGTTTTATGTCATTAATAGCAATTAATTGCATCAAATATTCACATTTATAATGTATATTTATTTTTTTATATTAGTGCTGTTAATAATGACAGACTATTTAAAAGATTTTAAAAAATTATTAAATATTGCAACTAAACCCCCCCCCAAAAAAAAAATTATATTCATCGTTTTAATCTCATTCATTTTTAATTATATTCATCTGCACATTACTAATAATTCTAATCTAAATATTATTAGTTGAACCATTTGTTGATTAATATTAATATTATTAGTTGATGTTTTGTTCATGAAATGAAAAACAAAAATCTGAAATTAATCATGAATAATCACCCATAATAATCACATTTCTATTATATTTATTATTATTTATTAGAACAGTTGAATAGCTATGTTTTAATTAACTGAAATATTTAGTATTTTCTAATAGTTTTTATCAATTATACTAAATATTAACATTTTAAATACTTATATATATCAGCGCTGTTAATCATGACTGCTTTAAACTAAAGGAAACATTAAATTAATCGTGATCAGTTGAATCTAACATCAACATTTGTAATAATAATATATCATATAATCTTCATTATATATCAATGCATACATTAATTTAATCATGATTGGTTAGTTAATAAACTATTGATACACTTCTTTTGTAAACCATGGTAAAAATGTGTATTTGTGTACACTCTCAGAAATAAAGGTACAAAATCTGTCATTGGGGCAGTACATTTTCAAAAGGTACATTTTTTCTTCCTAACAGGTTCTTAAAAGATACATATTAATACCTTAAAAGTACAAAAATGAACCTTAAAGGTGCAAAAGTGTACATTAAAGGTACTAATGTCCACCAGTATGGTACAAAAGTGAACCCTAAAGGTACTAATGTCCACCAGTATGGTACAAAAGTGAACCCTTAAGGTACTAATGTCTACCAATATAGTGCAAAAGAGTACCCTAAAGGTACTATTGTCTACCAGTATGGTACAAAATTGAACCTTAAATATACAAAAGTGTACCCTAATTGTACTAACGTCTACCAATATGGTACAAAAGTGTACCCTAAAGGTACTTATGTCCACCATTTTGGTACAAAGGTAAAGTTGTACCTTAAAGGTACTAATGTCTACCAATATGGTACAAATGTGTACCCTAAAGGTAATAGGGTCCACTAGTATGGTACAAAAATGAACGTTAAGCATTTATGCATGCATGCATGTATATTATTTTTTACATTTATATTACTGCTTTATATCAAAATGCCTTTAAGGCAAGTCATTTCACTTGGCGGCCATCTTTGAAACGGCTCTCGAGCAGTATGCTCAGGAATTCTGTTTGAATGGGGAAACGTCAACTTCTCCAAAATTGCTTGCCAAGTTTACGAATATTAGGAATCACCAATAGGATTAAACAACAACTGGCTCTTTAGTTTCATTTCTAAACGTTTGAGTTACACAAAATAGGCAGAAACTCGCATCTGGGGCCTCATGTATCAACGCTGTGTACACACAAAAACTTTGTGTACGCCAGATATCACGCTCACGTTTGGATTTACTAATGATGAAATTAACGTGAGATTGTGCGTTGGTTCACACCATCTTCATGTCTGGCGTACGTGCAATTCTTGTGTGTGCTTGTTTTATTTCCATTGGCGACTTCTAGAGGCAATTGTGTTAAATTGCACACTACAAAGTATCTTTGAGGCGTGCAATGCCAGCTGTATGAAAGGGGATCGTCCGCATGTCTAACAGGTATATAAGGTTTCCATATCATGCAGTTGAACCGCGGTAAAGTTAGTTTGACGTTTGACTTTCATTACATATTGTATTTCAAACCAATTAAATTCTTTGCTCCTGTTATAGTTTGAGCCAGAAATAGGTCAGATAGGCATAAATATATGCCCTTTATGTTGCACAAGGCTTAATTTCTCGATAAAAAAAAAAAACTATACGAATGAATTAAACAATTCAACGTTTTTGGAATTAGCACTTTAGTTATTTTATAATATTTTTTAAACATCTAAAATGTAAAAATTGTAAACATCAGTTAAACTCTGACACCATTTGAGATAAAATATTAAAATCAACTTTAAAATTGTGTGTCGCCCACAATTGAGGCAATTCTTTCCTCAAAGGGTGTTAGTTCAGCATCCCCTGTTCGGTCCACACTTTGACAGTGCGGTTCTCCTCTTAACCTGCACCTTTACATTGGGCCATTTCATTCTTAATTCACTCACAGTGTGATGTTCAGACCCCATTGCATTAACCACATCAGCTAAACTCTCCTGCTCTGTTTTTTTTCTTTTGTTATTAATTCCAGAGGACAAACTCGCAAATAACACCGTTTTTCTTTGATCTACCTCTGATAGGAGCACCTCCAATTCACATTCTGTGAAGTTTCTCTTCTTGCTTGCTTTTGCCATTGCTTTTTCGTTTGGTTTTGCCAAAGTGGAGTCATTACTATATTTATTAGGGGGAGTAGGCAGGGAGGCGTTTTGCGCTCCTGCACGTGCCCTCAGTTTCATGTTAAGTCGGATGTACAAACAGAATATGCATAGGATTCCGCGTACAGTGTTTAAGTATGAATTCAACGCAAGTCTTTGTACATGAGGCCCCAGGTCTGAGCACCTTCCTCAGAGAAATGTCAGTCTATAGCAATCGCTGATTGGTTCTTGTACTAGAAGGCGGGGCTTCATTCACCATATTGACTGTTACAATTCCCCATTCAAATCTATACAAGTGACATACATAATAGAGGACTCATTCCAATGTACTTAAACTTTAGCCTCTAAAACACTGGACAGAAGAATTGAACATCAAAAATGTAGTTATCATCATTTACAATTTATTCATGACATTGATCATTAAAAAAGCTTAAAAATATGGGAAAATATTCTAATAAGTTGCATATTGATAAGTATTCACAATAATAATGATGCATTTTTTTCGCCCGGCAGGTTTCATCATCAGGCTCTGGTCGAGCTGAAGATCCTGGATGCTGTGCGGAGAAGGGACAGAGATAACTGCCACAATGTTATTCACATGAAGGAGTATTTCTACTTCCGCAACCACCTGTGCATCTCCTTCGAGCTGCTCGGGTGAGTAAAGATTCATTGGCATGTTCTCCATTTAAACTGTCTTAAACCTGTCTAGTAACCCGTGTTAAAGAGGGAGTCACAGAGCTTACTTAAATAGAAGACTTCTCTGTTACTTCAGCTTATTATAGAGAGCTATTTCAAGAGAATATCAACACATATTTTGCTTTCATATTTATGAGTGAAACAGTATATTCATTTCAAAATAATAATCTATCTAAATATATCTCTCAATAGACAAATATAACCAGTACATATCATCTTATCAGTTAGATTTTATTTTAAAACAAATTCATATTTAATATTTGTGCAGAAAACAAAATTCAATTTATAATATGTTATATTATAAAGTATTATATTATATTATATTATATTATATTATATTATATTATATTATATTATATTATATTATAATTTCATGTTGATTTGAAAGACAAGATAAATAAAAACAATACCAAATACCAACATAATTAAATTATTCTATGGATATTTAAGAAAAACATTTATTAATAAATGTATTTATTAATTTTTTTTATTAATTATATATTTATTTTTAAATAAATTACATTTCAATGTTAATAGATTTTTTGCAAGAAGTAATAATTATCATTAGAGATCAGGCAGGTCATCACATTAATTTTGATTTTAAGATTGTGTATTGTTTCTTTCTTTCTTATTTGTTTTAGGATTAATCATTTTAATAATTTAGATTTATAATTTGTAAAATCTTTTTGTTGTTCAACAAATAACTGCATTACTTATATGATTACAAAATTATTTAAAATGATTTTATTTATTTTGTTTCGTTTTATTTTAAAATTTGGGTCAATTTTAAATTCATGTTGACAAGATTAGCAAAGAAATAAAACTTTTTTATACATCCAGTACAGAGTACCATGTTGGTTATTTAATTAATATTTAATGGATATTCAGTTTAAAAATATATAGGTACTAATGTCCAACAGTATGGTAGAAAAGTGAACCTTAAAGGTACAAAAGTGTATCCTAGGTACTAATGTCTATCAATATGGTGTGTGCGTTTACCTTTTCTTTTTTCATCTTTTTTCCCACTAAAAATACTGTATATACTGTATATACTGTTTATGTTCAACTCATTCTGAAAAATTCTATAAAAAAGAAAAACATTTTATTTTTTTAGTTATTTCTTTATTTAAATTAGTATATTAATTATGTATTTATTTTAATAATAATTTAACATTACAATGTTAATAGATTTTTTGCAAGAAATAATAATAATTAAGCAGATCATCACATTAGTTTTTTTTTTAAAACATGTATTATTTCTTACTTTCTTATTTGTTTTAGGAATAATAATTTTAATATTTTATAGTTTAATCATTTGTAAAATCTTGTTGTTCAGTAAATAATTGTATCATATAATTTATAATTAAAACATTATTACAAATTATTTAATTTAATTTATTTTTACTTTATTTTCAAATTTGGGTCAATTTTAATTTCCTGTTAACAAGATAAAATATATTTTATACCAGTACAGAGTACCATGTTAATTATTCAGTAAACCAGAAAGCTACTGTTTAAAAACAAAAAAGCCTAAAAGTATAAATTAAAAAAAAAAAAAAAAACATATGTAGTGCGGATCATCAGATTATTTCTGATTCCCTAGTTAGTTTGTCACATTAGTAATAATTTATCACCAGTGCCGCTGGTTCATCCCATCACTTATATCTCCGAAGTGAGAGTTTTCTCCCTCAGGACCTTTAGGACTCTGGCTAAAGTGCGCAATTAAGTCTCTACGCAGGAAAAGCTGCTTCATCTCTGACAGAGCCTGACCTTTAGCGATGCGTCGCTCCCTATCTAGGGTTACCGTCACTGAATCCTTTACTTAATGCCTTGATTAGACCCCTATCTCTTTCTCTGCCCACTCGTAGTGTGAAGTCTCTGGTTACATGAAGCTGTTCACAGCTGCTGTTTTAGTCCTCCACACTGCCAAACATAATGACTTTCATGAGTTTCTCTCTAAGGGCTCTTTAGCATAACGCTTAGCGGTTAACAGACTAACAGTGAGATTTCTTTTATGGAAGCGTTTAAAGACGGGAGCTCCTTGAGTGACAATGGATGTGTTTGTGTCAAGGTTTAGCATGAGGTTGCTCTAAAAATGACTGCCAATTTGAGATGTGCTGCCATCTTGAGGTATTCAGAAAACATTTACTTTACCCTTTAGATGATTTACACAAAAAAAGGGTTGCATGCAGAACTGATGCAAACAATTTATTTGTGTTGAATTTAAACAAACAAATTAAGTTTAATAATGTTCAACTTAATATGTTTGTTTAAATTCAGCCCAAATAAATTGTTACAACCACTTTACATAAAAAAATGTGTAAATCCAAGGAATCATCTTTGAACAATTTTTTTCAGTGTATTTAGCAGACCCTTTATACCAAACACCTTACAAATGAGGGAAATAGAAGCAAGTCACTAGAACTGCAACAATATGTGGATGTCTCACTGTAAAACCTACACTCCAAAAACATGTGGAATCTTATTTTATTAAACATTTGAGTAAACGACGACAGTTTTATGTTAGTAGAACTACAATTAATTTTTTGTGATGATAACTGTGGTACATGGTGTCTCAGTTCTCACATTTTTTTCACCCCTCCAAACTTGGCTAGGCTTCTGTCACCCAGTGTTGATGCACATTTTGAAGTATCATATGAGAAACGATTGATGGAAATGCCAAATTCTGAATACAAATTTCCTAATTTGCCAAGAAAAAGTTAAGCTTGAGCTGTTTTGCAAATAATAGAAGATAAAAACACAATTGCCATTAGACAATTGCAAACACTGAAAAAAAGATTTTGCTCAAAACACAATTCAACACAATTCTTTAGTTTTTTAGGGGGGACAACTTAATTTATTTACTTAATTTTATTTACAACCCACTTACATTTTTGCCAAAAAAAAAAAAAGTCAATTAAAAAACTTGATCAATTTGTCGGGCAACATGAAGCAATTTGTGTGGAACCCATTATTTTTTTACAGTAAAGATTACACCCACATGACCAACCAGCTATCTGCATTATGCTTGCCTCTGCAGAAATCTTATACAGATCATCATCTCATTTATGATTAAAAATGTATTTAAATGTATTTATTTACTTACTTTTTAACTTGGGTCCATTTTAATTTCATGTTGACAAGATAGAGAAGACTGGCAAGGAAAAAACATTTAGTACAGATTACTATGTTAGTTATTAATTAATATTCCATTAAAAAATATATGACAACCCAATTCTAGAGTTTTTGGGCGGGCAACTTAATTGCTTTATGTTCAATCCACAAAAAATTGCAACAAAAAGTTGATGAAAAAAGCTTGAATAATTTATGAGACAACATGAAGGAATTGTGTGGAACCCAGCATTTTTTACAGTGAAGATTACACTTACATGACCAATCAGCTGCGCTATGCTTGCCCTGTTTGCTGTTCAATAAACAATTCTGCAGAAATCTTGTTCAGCTCATCATCTCTCATTTGTGATAAAAAAAAATGTATTCAAATGTATGTATTTATTTAATTATTTTTAACATTTGGGTCCATTTTAATTTAACTTTGACAAGATAGAAAAGACTGGCTAGGAAAGCAAGGAAACACTATGTAAGTTTCTCAGTTAATATTCCGTTTGAAAATATATGACAACACAATTCAACTTAATTGTTTTATGTTCAATCCACTTAAATTTCCAAAAATAAATCAATTTAAAAAACTCAATCAATTTGTAGGACAACATGAAGGAATTGTGTGGAACCCAGCATTTTTTACAGGGAGGATTACACCATGTGACCAATCAGCTATCTCCATCATGCTTGCCTTGTTTGCTGTTAGTTGCTAGGTTACCAATTCTACAGTCAGCCACTCTAAAAACCTAATTGAAAGCACTTAATTTACATTTGTGATTTTTCCTCTTTTGACACTTAATGTATATAATTACGTGTTAGTCATCATTTTGAAGTATCACATGACAAATGTAATGCAAACACAACATTTTGAATAAAAATTCTTTTTGAGTGGTTTTGGACTACAAAAAAGTCCAAATGTCAAATAAATAAGTAATTCTTAATAATGGAAATAATATCAATAGCGTGTTTTAATGTGTACATCAAAGAGACATTTTACTTAAATTAATGTTGTGGATCGTGCAGTATAAACTTTAAAAGTAGTTTTTTTTAGCCCTTTCTCAGCCAAACAACATACTTTACTACTCTCGTTACACTCTTTACTACAATGGTAACAGATGAAGAACAATTATTAAATCGATTTAAAATGAAATTGGAGCTGCCGGAGTTGGAGGATCAAATGTTGACTAAACAGATGCGTCTTTAGTCTTTTCTTTAAAAAATGGTTATTTTCGTGTGGATTTGATGACAGTTAATTTAATGACACAAGGATTTCATATAAGCCTGAAGTGTTGATTTTAGATGAAGGGCCGAAGACAGAGCAAGAAGTTGTTTTCTAGGAAAAGTAGACTACACTTGAATTTCATGCAAGCAGCAATTGGCAACCAGTGTACTGTAAATTGAAGAACGAATGTGTGAAATGTGCACTGTTACTCTTTCGATCAGTCTGGCTGCCATATTTCGGATCAGTTGAAGAAACTTGATAGATGAGAAGGCTAACAAGGATGTATTGCAGTAACCCATTATTCTGCTTTTTGTCAATGCTGTTTATGCTGAATTAGTGTCAATCAACAATGAGCTAATTGAACAACTCTTTGGCTGCTTTCTTAACAGGGCAAACCTGTATGAGCTGATCAAGAAGAACAACTTCCAGGGCTTCAGTCTGGGTCTGATTCGCCGCTTCGCTCATTCACTGCTCAAGTGCCTCCAGATGCTGCACAAAGAGAAGATCATCCACTGTGACCTTAAACCGGTAAGCCTCAGCACTGTCCATGTGTAAATAAGAAAAGGAATAATATGGAATGTGGAATTATATTTTTGTGCACTTTTGGAAACACAAAAATTCCTGACAGCCAAAACATTTAGAATTAATTTGTATTTTTGACCAGCACTGTGATCCTGAAATCGAGACTTTAACATGTTGTCAAAAGATGCTTGTTCTAAATATGCCTAATGGGATTTTGGACGTGTAAATTAAATATGTTTTATGAGTGATGTTGTCTATACAATTAAAGCAGAAAAGAGCAGGATTAGTTGGTTTGTGGTAGCATCTCTGTTCACCATGCAAAGTTTGGAAATAAGCAGATTAGAAAATCTTCTTACGCTGTTTTCAATTTGATTTTAAACTATTTTATACATTCAACATAGATTTTCTTGCCAATAAATACTGCGATTTTCCTCTTAATAGGAGAACATACTGCTTTCTCAAAGGGGACAAGGAAACATCAAGGTGGTCGACTTTGGATCGAGCTGTTATGAGCAACAGAGAGGTAGAGTAACTCCTGTATAATGAATAGTACATAACAAAATCTGAACTTCTTTGATTAGGTGTATTGATTTGGGGAACACTTTCCCATTGTTTAAATTGATGTAATATCATTTGCATTTATAATTGTTTTCCCTTTTTTAAGAGATAGTTCATCAAGAAATGAAAATGTGACATTTATTCTTCCTTAAGTAGATTCTTGTTTTAGTATTTAGACAATGTTTTCCACATTAGGCAAGAAAACAACAGCAGTTAAAACAAATCTGTGACATACCAAAACCAAACCAACGTATTGATGCATTAAAACATTTGCAGTCAAATAGGGTTAAGAATGAACTAATAGTTCCACCATTAAATTAATAAATAGTATAAAATGTTACACTTAAATATGCAAATGAGGCATTATTAATTCAGTGCATACGTTTCTAGCAGAAACATTTAAACTTTTGGATTTGGCCAGGTTTAATATTCTTGTTTCTTTTATTTTCTTCTATTGTGTCTGTCTGTGTGGTCATTTTAGAGTCAAAGGGTTTAACAGATTAGATTTTGGGAATCTCAAATCTTTGGGAAAATACCGTGAACAGCCAGAAAGTTTCCAAATTTTTTGCAGAAGAAAATGTTAGACACGTCTGCCAGAATCTTTAGATTCTTTAGTCTCAGAGTAAGTGGTGCTGAAGATTTATAGCTCAGTAAAGCCTTATATTTATATATTAAGGGAGTAGCGGTTCACAAAACTCACGGTTCGGTTCGATACGACACAGTGGTGTCACGGTTCTGTATGTTTTCAATACAGCAAAAAAAGAAAAAGCCAGAGGATTTCTATGATTTAATTCTTTTAAATGTATTAAAACTAACATCATACAAGTATGATCTTGTTTTTTTCTTTTACTTTAAAGAGTGATAGAGCTATACGTCTGGGGTTTCTAATAAAACAAATCCTTCTTTATAAGGAATAATATAACGGGGCTCTATTACATTTAACATTTTCTTAAAACCCGACATTTCCACTACCTATTAAGGGCTCTATTTACAGCTATATATAAATGTACAGATTGCCACAGTGATTTGTTTTGCTCTGTTCAAATCTGTAGGAATTGCCTGTTTAAATGCTGTAGTGATAGTTGCATGTAGTGCGTGTGTTTCCAGTTTTCGTCTAATTCCACTTACTGATTCTGTGATGTCAGTGTAAATGAGTTGACATGCTCAAATATTAAAGCTAAAGTAGTTTACTGTAATAGCAGATGTCATTGTTTTTTTTCACCACTTTCTTGCCATCACCCTCATAACTTACAGGGACACCAAAGTCCTCCCAAACGCCAGACCCGCTGTTGGTTATAGGATTACATTAACGTTACTAGCCATTTTTTTAAGCTAGTGCAGCGTGTGCCTGACTGGAATAGTGTTTGGAGTTAGGCGGGGAAGGCAGCATGTTGCCTGTCAGGTCATTTAGGCAGCCTTGTTGAGCGTTGTTGCAATGAAAACATTATATTTTGTAATTTTCTTTTTTATCTTTTTAGATATTAGTCTGAATTGTTTGGTTTGCAATGTGTACCGAACTGAAAGTCCCATACCGAACAGTTCAATATGAATATGCCACACCCTTAATAAATAAATAAATATATATTTACTAAATCAGATCTACAGATACAAATTAATAAAGAGTGACAAAAGCCACACTTTAAAGTAGAGATTTTGGATGTTTTCTTTCCATTAGTATGAAAAAAAAGCTCAATATTGAAAGTGTTTTTGCCTGCAGTGTCTTGTCTTAAAAGGATAGTTCACCCAAAACTGAAAATCCTGTCATCATTTACTCCCCATTTACATGTTTCAATTCTGAATGGCTTTCCTTTTCCTGTTGAACATAAAAAAAGGTATTTTGAAGAATGCTGGAAACCTGTAACCAATGCCTTTCCTATGGAAGTCAATGGTTACCAGTTTTCAACATTCTTTAAAATATCTACTTTTGTGATCAACAGAATAAAGAAAAGGTTTGGAACCACTTGAGAGTGAGTAAATACTGTGTACATTTTCATTTTTGAGTGAACTATCCCTTTAATCTGATTCACTCTGTTAAATGTCTGTATCTCTAACAGAGCTCTTGTATTCCTCTCTGCAGTGTACACTTACATCCAGAGCCGCTTCTACCGCTCACCAGAGGTGATTCTGGGTCATCCTTACAGCATGGCTATAGACATGTGGAGTCTGGGTTGTATTTTAGCTGAGCTTTACACCGGTTATCCACTCTTTCCAGGGGAGAGTGAAGTGGAGCAGATCGCCTGTATCATGGAGGTTAGAGACTTTGCTAATAGTTTTCAAAAAAGTTCTGTTTATATGTGGTATAGAATTAAAATGTTTAAGTGAAGTGTTCATCAACACTAATCTCTAAAACATTTTTTGAACACTTTCAGAAGTAATTGAAAACGCATTAGATCAGATTGATTACACTAGTATAAATGCTCAAATGCATTTAAACATTCAATTCAAGTCTATTTTTACAGCGCTTTTCACAATAATTATTATTTCAAAAAAGCTTTACAAGAGATGCGCAATATTGCATTACATTACAAAGTCAAAGCTAGGGTGTTGTGAAAACACTGTAAAAAATATATCTGTAAATTATTAGTTTTCTGTATTTTGTGATTCATGTTTTTATGTTTTATTTATGCTTTTGAAATGCATTCTAGGACCTTGATCTTTCTTCTAACAACTTTTCACCTTAAAAAGTTAGAAAAAGTGACTTTTAATAACATTTTTAATAGTTTAGAGTGATATGTTGACTGGGTTGGTGTTGGGTATTGCTACAAAAACTTGCAATAAACTGCCATTACATTTTCTGCTTTTTTAAAGCCTTATTGCTCTAGATTTTTTTTCTTATACATTATAGTATTTCAAACTACTGAAATGTCAATAAAAAGTAGATTTTGAACATTAAAATTCGACAAAGCAGAGATCAACATCCCTTAATGCAATATATGTAAATAAACAGAAAATACTTCTGAATCACAAAATACCGGAACTGTTAATTAACAGGTGTTTTTACAGTGTGGGGTAAACATGTAAACATAGTTAATCTGCAGTTCTACAATTTAAGCCATGTCTATGTGTATAATACATTTTCAATGAAATGTAAATCCACAAGTGTACAAACATCCATTAAAGACTAAGAGATTGATATTATGTTCACTATTTTACAATTAATGGTGAACCAGAGCTTTAAAGCTTGAAAAATCTGAAAAATGTATAATAAAACCATTCATAGTTGATTGCTATCACATGAAAGATGTTATAGTAAAGAATCTTCTAATTGTCTTTGTCTTCTGTGTCTGAAATAAAGTCCTTTATGCCTGTTAAAGATTTTTCTATAGTTCTTGGTTACTAATATACTGTTTATATGTTTAATTCTGCAGATCATGGGACTTCCTCCAAATGACTTTGTCCAGACTGCATCGAGACGGAGGTTATTTTTTGGTAAGCTTACTAATTAGGAAGTAATTGCTTAATGCTGGTTTACTTTGGTTACTGTATAAACTGAACTTTTTCCTGAAGTGTTACCCAAATAATTTTATTTTACTATTTAAATGATCTGATCAGACTCGAAAGGAAATCCAAGAAATATCACCAACAGCAAAGGAAAGAAACGTCGACCCAGCTCTAAAGATTTGGCCAGTGTGCTGAAGACCAACGATCCTCTCTTTCTTGACTTCATTCAACGTTGCCTTGTGTATGTATGAATAAACTGTTTTGTATTTATTTTGTTTTTATCTATTTTTGATATTTTAATATTTGTTATGCATCTAATGTTTAAGATAATTAAATAACTAATGAGTTGAATATAAGTATATACATATCATTGTCATTATTTATATTTTATTTGTATTTATTTAATATCTTATATTATGTTAATAATTATAATTAATATAACATGTTAATAAAATGTTGTAATTAATTATTTTAGGATAAAATAAATATTTTTATATTACTTAAACTATTATTTTTATTTATTCAGTTTTTTATTATTTAGTATTTTAATATTTATTATAATGGGTTTAGAATATTTAATATATAATGTTGTTGTTATATTTTATATAATTTAATAATTTGAATATAAATATATATCATGGTAATTTGTTCTGTTAATATTTATAATTATATAACTATTAATAAAATTGTATTATTAGATAAAATATTTTATATATATTCTATTGTTATTTAATTATATTTTAATAGAATATTCCGTTTTATTGCTTATTATTGTAGAATGTAATCTAATAAATAAAATGATATTATTAATAATTTAAGACAAAAAAAAAAAAAAAAAAAAAAATATATATATATATATATATATATATATATATATATATATATATATATATATATATATATATATATATATATATGTATGTATATATATATATTTTATATTGTTACGTACATTATTCTATTTTATTTATTTTGTTTTATTATTTTAATATTTATTCTAATATAGGTTTAGTATGGGTTTAATAGGTTTTATAATATGTTTTCTTACCTGGTGTTGTTGTAGGTGGGATCCCACAAAGCGCATGACGCCCGATGAAGCGATGCAGCATGAGTGGATCACAGAGGGACGTCTCAACAGACTCCATCCAAAACCTCGCCCTCTACGGAAAGAAAGTGATAACAATTATGAATTTACCTACCGCAAAGCCACAGGAAACAGGACAGGTGAGGGCCAAAATATGGGCCATTAGAGAAATATATAGTGATGTAAAAAAATATTCTGATATCTGAGTTCTGTCTAAAAATGCACAAATGTTTTAAAAGAACGACTGTATGAATTAGTTAGAAAATGAAGTTATATTATATATTATTATTCATTACATAATTATAATATTAAAATCTAATCAAATATAATATAAAAATGTTCTGAAATACTAATTGGAGTAAAAGTGAAATCTTATAAAAGTATAAGACAATGTGAATTATTTTAATTTATCATTAATTATAATATAAAAAAATATTTCATATAATTACACAATCAAAATCGAATTAATTATAATAAATACATAAATGTTCCAGATTAATAATTAGAGTACAATAAAATTAAATGTTACAAAAGTATAATATAATAGAAATACAATTATAATATGAATTGTTTTTTATTATTATTCATTTAAATATTAAATAAAATGATGTTATATAGTAGTGTTATGTTATAACACAATATTATTGTCATATAATATAATTAAATTGTATATATAATGTGAAATAAAATATTAATTAATATTAATTATAATTGCAATAATAATGCAATCATTTGTTAATTGTAATTAATAATCTTATATTATAAATATTTTAAACAAATTATTTATTGTAATATGCAATATATATATATTTAATTATTATACAATAATATAATCCAAATTATTTTTAGATTTTAATGTATAATTATTTTATATTGTTTATTTTATTGTGAGTTGTTTATTGTTTTTATTATTTATTATAATATAAAGTAAAACATTCTATAATTATATTGTGTTATTATAGAATACTAAACAAAGGAAATATAGTTATTATTAAAAAATGTAATTATTGGTTGAAATATGAAGCTTAAGGTTTTGTGATTATAGTATAAATATATCATTAAAGTAGATTCATAAAATAATTATTTCTTTTAACATTTTCTTTTTAATTTTTGTTATGATATGAAACAACATGTTACCTACTTGCTGTATAATTAAATATATTGTTAATGTTAAGTTACTATGTACAAATTAATATTAAACTATTATAATGTTAAATTACTGTGACTCGAATGGCATCCACTGCATAAAACATATGCCAGAGTAATTGCCGCTTCATTTGATCTGTGATGACACCTAATAAATCAGCACTAAGCCGAAAGATAGTGAGTAATGTTCCATTATGCAAAGTTGACACAATTCCTTCATGTTGTACCAGCACACATCGATTTAGTTAACTTAATGTTTTTCTACTCATTTAAGTGGATTGAACATTAAAAAATTAAGTTGTCCCTGCAAAAATGTAAGATTTGCATTGATTCAGCTCATAATATATAATATAATAATTTCAAAATAATATATTTTCTCTCTCCACAGCTGATAAATCAGGATCTGACGAGAAGCTAAAGAGGGTCAGTGACGCCTCAAGCAAAGGAGGAAAGACGGTCTCAGAAGAGCGCCTGCGTCCCATAGGAGCCTCAGCTGAGGAAGAAAACAGTGAGAATTCAAGCAAAAGCCTGAGCAAAGACAGCAAGACGGACTCGAGTGGCGAGCGATCCGTTCAGATCATCATCAAACCTCAGACGGGCTCCAGCTCTGATTCCTCGTCCTCTGAAGGCCCAGAGCCTCAGTTTCTGCCCCCCATTGTATAACAGCCACAGCAAAGCGTTTCTTACTGCAGCCGCTTGGTCTGGATTTACCGTTTGTGCGGCTTATTAGAGAGAGTTTGACTTTGAGTTTTTAAAATGTCCAAGAAAGTCAGGCTAATCATTTATTTATTTATTTTTAGCTGTTTATTCATTGTGGTATGAAAAGGTGCCATCATACTAGAGTTTGACAACTGTTTAGCCACAAATTTTGAAGATGTGATGCTGGATGTTGGTTTTCTTAGTTAATTATTTGCTAAATAATATTTAAAAAATAAAATCAAATATTTAAAATACATTAAATGAAATTATTATTTAATTAATGTACAAAAATATTTTTTATTAAATTATTCAAATTAAACGCATATAATAAAATATTTAATTAATTAAAATAAAGAATTCAAACTAATTAAATGTTTAAAAAATCAACTAAATCAAATAATTTTGAACTAATTTTAATTTACAAAAAAAATTTAAAGAAAGAATTTAAATTAAACACCTTTTAACAAAATATTTTATTAAATAGAATAAGAAAGAATCAAATTCAATTGAATGTTTAAAAAATTAAAATAATTATTGAATTTATTTATAAAACTATTTTTTGAACAAAATATTTTAATTAAACACCTCAAATAAAATATTTACTTAATTAAAATAAGGATCAATAAAATCTAATTAAATGTTTAAAAATGTAAATAAATCAAATAATTATTAAATTAATTTACTAAATAATTTAAAAATATAAAATATTTAAATTAAGCACATTTATTAAATTATTAATGAATTAAAATAGTAATTAATAAATTTAATCAAACATTGAAAGGATTGAATAAAAGAATATTAAATAATTTATCAAATAATTAAAAAAATAAAATATTTAATCCATTAAAATAACCATGAATAGAATCTAATCAAATATTGAATGTTTTTATTAAATAATTATAAATTAATTTAAAAAACAATATGAAATATAAAATATTTAATTAGTCAAAGTAATAATGAATAAAATCAAATCAAATATTGAAAGAATTAAATAAATATTAAATAATTTACTAAAGTAGTTTGAAAAATAAAATATTAACTTAATTAAAATAATAATGAATAAAATCTAATCAAGTACTGAAATTTTTTCATTAAATAATATCAATTAATTCACAAAATATTTTGAAATATAAAATATTTAATTACATACAATAAAAACGAGTCAATCAAACTTTTAAAAACGCAGTTCAATTCAATGAATCATCTGCAGTCTAGTGTGATCGCACCTTCACTTTCAGTCTAGAACAGTTACATTAGCTGAAGAGCATTCGATTGTGTTTTCATGATTAAAACCCGTGTTGTTGATTTGGAAGTAAAGTAAATATCATTTTGGTGCTTGTGATGTATTTGGAAAGGATTATTGTTTGTGACACTGGCATATTTTGCTGAGCATAATGCTATGTGCATGTTTATTGGGTCTAGTGTGCTTTTTCATTTTCATTTTTTAAGAGTCAAAGCTTTTAGCAACGTCATTAATAGAGCTCAACCTAACCTTGAGTACCAAAGCTGCTTTATTGTGCAATATTTACTGCATGTATTAACAGTGTTTGTATATTTCCTTGTCGTTTGCCAGATTTAATTTTTTTAATAAGTTAGTATGCCTGTCAGTGCAATAATAACTGAGCCAAAGAGATTCATCGTACATGTTTTTACTCTAGAAGAACAAATCCTCAGACTAAATCTGACGGAAAGCACACTAGATCATCAAAATGTGCACAAGAATTGCGAGATTTTTATTGATGATTGTTATGATTTCGATTTCGAGGGAGGTCAAGAATGCTGTTTAGAGTAAAAGTACAACGTTTTATGGATTGTAATAGTTTATTTTCTTGTAAATAGAGTAAGATACAGTAAATACCATGCACCCTATGCGGATGCCATCAAGACATGTAAACATTAGACAAGGTTTTACTTGTTCTTGTTATTGTTTTATCTGTTATAATTGATACACATGGAGATTTTTACTACCGTATGCTCTCTCTTTATCCCTTGTTGTTTTGTTTATGGGTTTTAGAAGAAAGTCTTGGACAGAGGGTGTTAGGTAGTGCCTTTCAGTATTAGAATAATCGTCTCTTGAATAATGTGTGTAATGTACTGTCATAATTATGACAATAAAGATGTAATATGGAACTAAATGTGAATTTTTAAATGCAAACACGGTCTGGACTTGATTGATTTAGTGGAAATGGCTTTTATATGTTTATCAAGGGGATGTGTATGCATTAAAATAAAGCACTTCTGGTAAATGTGAAAATGTTTTCTTTATGTTTCTGTTATTGTTTTTTTATGGCTAGATATATCATTCATTCATTCATTTTCTTGTCGGCTTAGTTCCTTTATTAATCCTGGGTCGCCACAGCGGAATGAACCAGCAACTTATCCAGCAAGTTTTTACACAGCGGATGCCCTTCCAGCCGCAACCCATCTCTGGGAAATATCCACACACACATTCACACACACACTCATAAACTACGGACAATTTAGCCTACCCCATTCACCTGCACCACATGTCTTTGGACTGTGGGGGAAACCGGAGCACCCGGAGGAAACCCACCTGAACGCAGGGAGAACATGCAAAATCACACAGAAACGCCAACTGAGCTGAGGCTCAAACCAGCGACCCAGCGACCTTCTTGCTGTGAGGAAACAGCCTACTGTGCTACTGCTTTGCCCAGCTATATATATATATATATATATATATATATATATATATATATATATATATATATATATATATATATATATATAATATAAGAATTAATCACTTTAAAAGATTATAAGTGACTAGAAAGTGATATAAATAACATGGAGCATAACTTATTTTCTTCTAATGCCTGTTGACGTAGCAATTCCAGCATTATGGATGTGACATTTGCAGTAAAATCTCAAAACATAAATTCACAAAGAAAGTATATGTTAACATTATATTGAAACATCTGTTTTTATTTTCCAAAACAACTAATCACAGAGTCATAGGATCAGAAAAATATCAATCTGTATTTTGTAATATTTTAAATGAGGAAAATAAATATGCGTTATGGATGTAACCAAAAAAGTACACAAGGTCGACATTTGCATAGAATTGCTCGGTTTGTAGTTTGAAGTTTGATTTTGAAACATTTTTGTCCACTTATGGTGAAAGTTTTATCACAATAATGTTTTGTAGAGAAGTAAAGACTTGAGAGATATAAAAGTTATATTTAAAAACAATATAACAATCAAATAAAAAAAATCTTTTATTATATAAATAACTTATAAATCAAGTGTGAGAAGAATACAGTGTCTGAAGCTTTCTATTACAATATATTTATATATTATTATACATTTCTATATAAATAATTACATTAATGCATAATATTGCTTTCTATATAATATCAAACTTTCAGAATTATGACATGCTGTGTAGATATTATACAATTCATACAAGTATTATATAATTAAAATAAAATGTATTTCTTAGAGTGCAAATTAAGTCTGGACTTAATTTATTGTTATTTTTATAGGCTTTTAAATTAAGTGCATGTGTTCTAAAATAAATAAATTCTGATACATTTGAGCTCATATCTACACTTTTTTAATCATTATAAAATATTAATTAAAACTAGAATGTCTTTTAGAATGCGACGCAGTGGCGCAGTAGGTAACGTTAGTGCTGTCGTCTTACAGCAAGAGCGTCGCTGGTTCGAGCTTCTGCTGAGTCAGTTGACGACTTTTCTGTGTGGAATTTGCAGTCCAAGTACAGGTGAACTGCGTAGGCTAAATTGTCCGTAGCGTATGAGTGTAAATGAGTATGTATGGATGTTTCTGGAAGGGCATCCGCTCCGTAAAACATATGCTGGATACGTTGGCGGTTCCTTCCTCTGTGGCGACCCCAGATTAATAAAGGGACTAAGCCGACAAGAAAATGAATGAATGTTTACCTCTGGGGTTAAAAAAAAACTGAAGTTCGTACAACTGTGGGAATAACCATTTATAGCGTCGTAAACGTTCGGTTTTTCCTTTACAGTGTACTTGTAACTAAATTGTGTTTTGTTGGCTCACAAATAAACGACAAATCTGTAAAAACTAAAACGCTTAACAAGCTCTTACCGTACCATCCATAGAAAGTCAAATTTCGCGGTTTTTGCTTTGCGTTTGAGCCTCCTCAGCTTCCGTCTCAGCTCTGACGGCCATAATCATGGCGGCTGTCACACTGATTTGCCGTCCTGCGGGTGTCCTTCCCAAGCTTTCAGGTGAGTTCGCTGTTACATTGCATTATTATACACAGTTTTACTGTACATTAACGCTGTTAATGTTTGAGCTGTTAATAATACGATTAATATAGCCATCAGGTGATGTTTGTGGAAATCGTTGTCTTATGTTTTTTGACCTCGGCTGAAGACAACAGGCCTCATTTGTACACGAATACTGATGTGTTAGTATAAATGTGCTGTTATGACATTTAAAATAATAAACACCAGGCATTTTACTACAAGACATTACATGCAAAATGTATGTAAGCAATACGCTGCATGCAACCTAATGTAAGTTAATACAATCGGAGGAAATGTTTCAAAACAGTGAGTTCACTTTCCAGCTAACTTACTGGAGTAAAGTTGGCTTTATATTCGGACATTCTCCTTAATGTTATCAAGACCGTGTCACTGTTCGAAAATGAATTTAAAATCATGTTTAATTGAGACAACACTGGTTTTGTATTCGCACATATTCCCTATTTTGTTTTGAAGACGTCGGTCTGAAATCGCATGTTTGTATGGATGACTTCACAACAACATTAGCACTGTCAACAATGTTGTACTTTGATGGTTATTTGCTGCTAATATGATTTCCCGCTTTGAAATGTGCAAATAATACTTTTCTGAAGTTAAATTATTTAGGAGAATGTATGAATGTGAGAATATAAAGCCAACTTCACCTCAATTTTCTAGCTAACGTTAGATTTACAGAAGCACATAAGATGCACACAGGGCTTCTTATGTTAACTTTAAAAACTCTGCAACATTTAAAATAAATAAAATATAAAAATAGAATTAATATATAAAATAATGTGTGCATAATTACAGTTAATACATTTAATAATGTAACCTTTTCATATGAAACATACTGTATAAAATAGTGTTTGTGTGTGTATACCTAATTTTATATATTAGGGCTGGGCGATTTGACAAAGTAAAAAATTTCGATTAATTTAGCTTTTTAACTTTTTAACTATTTCACTATTTATTTATTTATTTATTTTTGCCCTTATAGTTTACTGTTTTGCACACTAAAAAGTTCACATATTACAAGTCAGAGATTTTTTAGTGCATTACTTGATTTTAAAATACATAAATGAAGGAAACAC